GCTGGGTTGCTCCAGTAGCGCCGAGGAGCCGCGCTACTGGAGCAACCCAGCAGCACCCCAGCTGCTCTGCCCCAGACGTCCCCAAGTCAGCCGCTGCTGAAACTGACCAGCGGCTGACTACAGGAAGCTGAAACTGAACAGCAGCTGACTTGGGGACACCTGGGGTAGAGCACCTGGGGTGCTGCCGGGTTGGTCCCCGCAGCGCTGAGATGTGGCGCTGGGGAGATCTACCCAGCAGCGCCCCAGCTGCTCTGTCCCAGGCGTCGAGATTCAGCTGCTGTTGAAACTGATCAGCAGCTGATTCCAGGAAGCCCGGGGCAGAGAAACTCTGCCTCGGGCTTCCTGTAGTCAGCCGCTGGTCAGTTTCAGCAGCGGCTGAATCTGGATACCAGTTCCGACTTAAGTACAAATTCGACTTAAGTACAAACCTACAGTCCCTATCTTGTACGTAACCCGGGGACTGCCTGTAAATGAAAAAAATACTCACAGCCTTTCACCTTCTTGAAATCTTCTTCTTTTCTCCTTTCTGAGACACAATCTCTTGGCGGAAACCAGAGGATGGTGCAATCAGTTAAATAACATTAAGCAAACTTCTAACATTGTCACCAGATCTGGTCAGAAAATGGAATTCTTTTTTCCTGTGGAATTTTTTTTGTACAAGCCCCAAACATTTAAAACCCGATTTTTTCCCCCCAGTTTCTTTGGTTGCTGAAAATGGAATTTTTTTGGTAAAACAAAACAAAACAAAATTTCTCAGTTTCTGCAAGAGATTTATTTAGTCAAAAATCTAAATTTTTGTCAAAAAATTTTCACAGAAACATTCCAACCATCACAATTTTTTTTTTGTCATTTAGGAGTGTAAACCTCATTGAAAGTCATTGACTGGGACATGTGACATAATTGTCAAAAGCTCCTAAGTGACTTGAAATTTTTATCTATTACTGTCTTTGTAAACAAGTTTTCCCCCAACTTTATCACTTTCATGAATGGAACGAGGGAAGGGATTCATGATTAAGTAGCTGTTAGACCATGACTATATTAAAATATTATGCAGCTATACATAGCAAAAATTTTGAATTTTAAGTACAATAATAATTTAAGTCTGCACTAGTCTCAGTTTTTAAAGGTCGAATAAGTAAATATGGTAGTACTTTACCTCATCTCCAAGTCTTCATTCTCTTGTGGTACAAATTTGTACAAGGCAACGTAGGTATTCATTTGTAATGTGTCTTTATAAAGAGGTCCCTTTAAGGGGAGAAAAACAGATAAAAGAAACTATAAGCTTCTGGCTGCCAGAAGTGCCCTGCAGAGAGATGGGGCTGAAATGCACTATTTGGCTACAGATTAAATTTTATTAATATTTGGGGCCCTTCAATCCAGGATTTTGTTTCATCTCATTACAGATGTGGGGACAAGATATATAGGTATTGCTAAATCAAATAACTATTTATATTTTAGGAGAGTATTAAGGGATAAACATGACTTCAGAAGTTTGCTAAAATTAGGCCCTTTAGAGCCTCTAGTCCCAGTGCTGGTGGAGCTAACTGAGCTTTTTATCCTCCAGAAGCAGATGTAGGCCTGGAAAGGTTTGTGCCAGTTACTATTTGAGCGTCTTTTGGGTGAGATCTTAAAAGAAACAAACAAACCGTTATCTCCTCTGTACATTGAGGGCTGTGTGTTGTGTGCTCAGCAGTTTATTACTGCCATTTTATAGAATCCTTGGCCAGGGTTGGCTTTAGGCCGACTTGGCCGATTCCCCGGAATTGGGCCCTGCACCCAAGAGGGGGGCCCCGCGCCTAAGAGGCGCACTCTCAGGTCCGATTCGCGCATGCGTGGCCCCGCCCCCGCAAATCGGGCCCCGCGCTTGTTAAAGCTGGCCCTGTCTTTGGCTATGTCTAGACTACAATGATCTATTGGAAAAAGGTACAAAAAATGTGCTCCACACTTTGTGTACCTTTTTCCGATAGTTTTTTTTGGAAGAGGCTTTTCCAAAATTTTGCCCATCTACACTGGGTCAAATTTCGGAAAATCCTCCTCTTTTACAAGAGCCCCCCTTCTTCATGGAAGGAGGAAGACAAGGCTTTTGAAAGAGTGCGTGTGCTCTTTCGCAAAAAAAAAAAAAAAAAAAAGCGGAACAGCGGACACATTCCCTGGATGCGGCAGAGTTTTCCCAGGATACTTCCGGTATCCCGGAAAGACCCTGTAGTCTAGACATAGCCACAGAAATGTAGGCCTGGAAGGGACCCTGGGAAGACAGCTCATGTGCCCCACTACGCTGAGGCAGGACCGAATAAACCTAGACCCATTTCTGTCCTGTTTGTCTAACCTGTTCTCAGAAACCTCCAATTATGGGGATTCTACATCTCCCCTTGAAAGAATAGGAAGCTTTTCCAAATAGTAAATCTAAAGCTCCCACACTGCAGATTAAGCTTATTACTGCTTGTCTTTCCTTCAGTAGACACAGAGAACAATTGATCAGAGTCCTCTTTATAACAGGCAGGGCCCCCGTCAATTTTCTTTTCTCTGACTAAACACTCCAGTTTTTTAATCTTTTCTCATAGGACAGGTTCTCTGTACTTGTTACTATGAATCTGAATTCTCTCCAGTTTGACCACATCTTTCTTAAAGTGCTGTGCCCAGAATCGGACACTATATTCAGTTCTGGCTTCATCAGAGCTGAAAAGAGAAGAACCATTATCTACCGTTTCTTATATGCAGAGCTCCTGTTAATACACTCCAAAAATATTAGTTAATTTCACAATTGCCTCACCTAGTTGTAAATTCGTGTTCAATTTGTGATCCACTGTAACCCCAAGATTGTAAAAAACTATCTTCCTTCTTAAATGAAATACTGAACACTTATATTTATCACATTTTATCTTGTGGAATTCAGACTAATTCTACAATTTGTTAGTCTGTTCAAATTTTAATCCTGCCCTCCTAAGTGCTTGAAACTCTTTGCGACTGGTGTAATTTACAAATCTTATAAGCAAATTATCCCCATCCACTATCCAAGTTATTCATGAAAATATTGAATAGTACCAGAACCAGGACTCACCCTGTGGGACTCCACTAGATACACTCTTCCAGTGTGACAGTGAACCACTGATAATAACTGAGTGCCATTTTTAACCAGTTGTGCACTCACCCTATTATAAATTCATCCAGACTGCATTTCCCAAGTTTGCTTAGGAGAATATTATGTGGGACTGTGTCAACTAAAATCAAGATACATCACATCTATTGCTTTACTTCTATCCATTAGGCCAGTCACCCTGTCAAAGAAGGAAGTTACATCGTTTGGCCTGATTTGTTCTTGACAAATCTGTGTTGGTTACTTGTTGGTTATAACCCTATTGTCCTATATGTACTTACAAATTGCTTGGTTACTAGTTCATTCCAGTATCTCTTCAGTCATTGAAGTTAGGCTGACTGGTCTATAATTTATGCTGTCGTCTTTGTTCCCATTTATAAATGTAAGTACTATCTTTGCCATTACCTAGTCCTCTAGGACGGGGGTGGCGAACCCGTTCTGGACAAAGAACCAAAATAGCAGTTGATACAGTGCAAAGAGCTGAGGCAAAAAAAACGAGTTGTTGAAAAAAAAACAACAACACTGTCCCTTTAAGAAACACGTTTAAAGGCTTTTTGGCCACATCAGGCTCCTGCCAGCCACTGCCATCTTGAAGACACCATTTTGCATGGCTGTGTCGGATGGTTCCCCTACCCCGGTGAGCATAGGGAGCCAGGAGGTGTTTTCAGGGGCCCAGGGGCAGCTTCGCGAGCTGCACTTTCGGGGGGGGGGAGGAGGGAGGAGAGCCGCATGCGGCTTGTGAGCTGTGGGTTGGCCTCCCCTGCTCTAGGATGTCACTTGTCCTCCATGTATATACTTGATAATGGTTCTGAGGTTACTTCAGCTAGCTACTTACACGCCTATGGTGAATTTTATCAGACTTTGCTGACTTGATTACAGCTAACTTATCGAAATGTTCCTTAACATTTCTTTATTTTGACTTGTGTTCCTTCCTGCCTCTTTATGTTTAGTATCTGGTCGCCATTAGCCTTTTTAGTGAAGATTGAAGAAAAATAGGCATTAAACACCACAGCTTTTTCAATATAATCAGGTATTAGCACTCTTTCTATGCTAAGTGTAGTATGTGTGCTTTTCTTTGTGTCTCTCTTGATCCTAATATATTTTAATAATGTCTCATTCCCTTTTATGTTCATAGGTGTAACTCATTTTATGCCTTAGGGTATGTTTACACTGCACGGCTATTTTGGGATACCTCCAGTATCCCAAAATAGCTACCTTGCATCTACACAAGCCGCCCGTTATTTTGAAAGATTTTTTGAAATAACAGGCATGCTATTTCGCCATCTCAGTAAACCTCATTTCACGAGGGATAAGGGATGGTTCAAAATAGTAAGTTATTTTGAAATTTGGAGCCAAATTTCAAAATAAGTTACTTTGAAATAGTTTAGAAATAAACTATCATAGCGCAAATTGCGTATCTTATTTTGAGTTTAGGGTGCTGTGTAGACACACCCGTCACTCTGATTTATATGTACTGTTCTTTTGTACTCTTCCGTAGCAATTCGTCCATGTTTCCACTTTTTGTAATATTCCTTTTAGAGCCATATTGGCCTCTTACTATTCTTCATATCTTTCCCTTGCATCAGTACAATCGTGCCTTGAATGCTATCTCTGAAAATATGCCAGGTCTCCTGAATTCCTTTTCCCCTTAGATAAGATGCTATGGGAAGAAAATCTATCAGTTTTCCGAGTTTGTTAACATCTGCTTTTTTAAATAAAACTCTGTTGTGCTTATTCTGTTGTTCCCATTTCTTCCTTTCATTAGAATTATGAAATTTATAACTTTGTGGTGTTCCTCACTCAAATTGCCTTCTAGCTTCAGATTCATTTTTATCCATTCCTCCCTGCTGGTCAGTATAAAATCTAAATTGATTTGTTCCCCTGGTTCCTTCCTCTGCTTTTTGGAAAAAAAAAGTTGTCCCTAATACATTTGAAGCACTTATTGGAAATACTGTATTTTGCCATATTACTCTTCTAACAAATGTCTGGATAAAGTTCTCCTAATACCACCAAGTCTTGTGTTTTGGATATTTCTGTTATTTGTTCTAGAATTGCTGCATGCAACTCCTTGTTCTGATTTAGTGGTCTATAGTAGACCTCTACTACTCCTATTGTCACTCCTAGTTTTTTAACCTTTTTTTTTGCCCTTTTATCCAGAGACCTTTAAGTGATCTGTCTTTCACCTCCTTTTGGAATTTAGAACAAATGTATTTATTCTTGATGCATAATGCAACACTTGCTTCCTTTCTCTCCTGTCAGTACTTCCTTAAGTTGTGATTTAGCTTATGGCCTAATACTTTCTGTTCTTTTTGTTTATTTCCCATACTTCTTGCATTTGAGTATCGACTCTATTGCAATTTTCCACAGGTTCCATCCTCCCCACCAACATCTAGCCCTCTGTTAAAGTTATCTTGTTTATATGACAGGTGTAAATTACAAAAAGCTTGCTTGTGCTGATTATGCACAGAGCGGAGTCAGGGTGGTGCATAACTGTGAAAGCCAGAGCTAAGCGAGGGATTGGGCACTTTCCCTGTTCAGCAATGTTTGCCTAGCATGCTCAATGAGGGAGACTGATCCTTGCGTACCCTCTCCGGGTGTGCATGCTCTAACACAAGGGCCAGGGATAATCTGGCCAAAAGAAATTGCAGAAAGCCAAAGATCCATTTCAAATTATATCAGACTCTGGATTGTGCAGTGTCATTTTTACACTGTCACAGCTGTAAGACTGTTACATTGTAATCACATTCACACTGCTCGGGCTCATGTGTCACAATGTTTTTATTCATCATGCCAATTTATGGTACTCACACAAATGCAATTCTATAAAAAACGAGCTTCTTAAATCAATTAACATTTTCACTATACTTTCAGTAAATTTTTGCCCATACCAGGGGGTTTATCCTCTTAGATTCTTCTCCAAAGTCTTCTGTTCCATTTTCTGAGTAGGTAAACACTAAAATAAAACAAAACACATGACATTCTAGGGACAGGGGAAGGCTATTCACCTCACGAGGCCCATCTTCTCTGTCTCTCTTTCTCTCCCCAACCCATCCTCCCTTTTTAATTTTTTTCACTATCTCTTTCAATAATGTCCTTCTTTTATTGATCAGTCATTTATATTGCAGTAGCACTTATAGATTCCAGCCAAGTCAGAGGCCCCTTTGTTCCAGGTGTTGTACAAACAAGTATTACAAGATAGTCAGTCCCTGCTTGAAGAATTTACAATCAAAATAGATAAAAGTAACAGGAGGGAAGGGAAACCAGTGAAATGCCCAACATCATGCAGCAGGTTAGTGGCAGAGCTGGGAATAGAGCCAAGGTTTCTTGACTCCTAGGCCAATTAGATTCAGGCAGCCTTACTCATACTGAGTAGCACCTTGTTTTGCGGGTAACTCCACTGAACTCAATGGGTCTACTGAAGGAGTAGGATCCCACTCAAGGTTAATAAGAGTATCAGAATTCAGCTTAATCTATTGTAATTGTTTCATTAGCTGATTTATATACCATTGCTTCCACTGACTGCGTTTCTTCTTCACTCGCTAAGAATAGTTTCCCAATGTGTAGAGAATGGTGTCCCGTACCTTTGGGCAAAGCTCGGCCATGATTTTAGAAGATGGAAGCCATCAACTGTTCTGGGCGTAAGTGATTTTAGTAGAGTTTAGACCCAGTGTTGTATGTCTTATTTTTCTAACAATAAATGTTAGCCAGGCCAGAAGCCTCTCATACCAACCCTAGCTAGTTATTGGTGATTGCTCTGGGTATTGTTATCTCCCTTCTCTAGTGATTTTGTTCCATACTTCTAGGATATAGAAGATGGAAGCCATCAACTGTTCTGGGCGTAAGTGATTTTAGTAGAGTTTAGACCCAGTGTTGTATGTCTTATTTTTCTAACAATAAATGTTAGCCAGGCCAGAAGCCTCTCATACCAACCCTAGCTAGTTATTGGTGATTGCTCTGGGTATTGTTATCTCCCTTCTCTAGTGATTTTGTTCCATACTTCTAGGATAATAG